CTTTCGCAGTGGGAAGAAACAAGTATGTTTTCCGAATTGAAGCCTCCATGGAATTGATCAACCAGGCTATGACAAGGGAGTTTTCTGACTTCCAAATCTGCCATGTTGGATCTGTATTTTCTGGCTTCTTTGTCTCGCCGTTGAGATAGCCAAGTTTGCCTTTGCCATCGACCACCAACTTAATAGATTGCACCCATTCCAGGTAATTTTTTCTGTTCAGTTTGTGAACGGTTAATTGTATTGGGGAACTTTAAATTCCGTTGGGGATTACAGATCCCGATGGTAACAACATCCTGACATTATTTCCAGGAGATGTGGTAGTGGAACTGATGTCACTTATCCTCACTGTTCCAGGCATAACTGTTTAGACCATCACAAAAAAAAAAACTGATAAAAAGAGAAGGATTTAAAAACAAAAATTTTATTCAGGTCAAACTAGCCGACCTGGCTCTGATACCATGAATGCAAACAAGAAAAAGAAGTTTTATTTTTTGTTATTTTCAGCAAGTACAAAATGCTGAATTTATAGAGTTTTACATTCATATTTAGTCTTTCTAATTTTAGGAGTAAATAACTATATAATCAATATTAATAACTTCTAAAAATTACAGAAATAAATCATAAAGATATGCAATAATAACTTATAGAAATCTGTAATAGTAAATTCTAAAAATATGCAATAATAATTTTAAGGATGTGTAATCAATTCTTTCTATATTTCTACAGTCCAAGTGAACACCTTGACTTTGGAAAGAACAGGAGATTTTTCAGAGATTTCTAGGTTTTGGAAGATATAGTTGATTCTTTTGAAAACAGTAACCAGAACCAAGGTCCACAATAATCAAACCAGAATTTGTAATTTTCTTTGCTCGGATTAGTTAAATCCAATAACAAACACATCTACATATAGATACTGAGGCCTTCTATTAGATTTATGTGCATTGACTCTGAATCATGCGACATTTGTAATCCATAGCATATGTTACTCAATTTATTTTATTTGGTATTAAGGCTTCCTTTATTATTATTATTATTTTTCTTTTTCTGAAGTTCCCATTATCATTTTAACATTGCAGGATATGGAAATGCAGAGAGGAAAACCACTCTACTTGAACCAGGAGCGCTATGCTGCTCTAACTCACATGGTGAGGATAGTCTTCTTTCTGCAAGCTCTAAGACCATGATGTTTTACTTATACCTAAATGGCATAATGCTCATGATGGCATATATATTGAGTGAGACCACAACTAATCCTTGACCATTGATGTTCGGTTAAATCAGTATTTATCTGGAATTTTTTTGGTCTAACAATCTTTTTGCTTTGTATTATTTTCATCACATTGTTAGTATGATTTTCTTAATGATAGGTTGCTCATGGCCTTGACCGAAATTCAAAGGTTCTTGCGCAAACTACGATGGGTTCTTTCTTCATCATTTAATGATAAAAATTCAGGAGTTCTGTGAAGGTAATTATTGATAGTATCTTCATTTTTTTTTCTCTCGCTTCAGTTTTTCAAGAATTGGTCTCTCAATCCTTGTTATGATTCTTACTAAATGTTTTTATCTCAATTCTTTTCAGGAATTAAAGACTTCTTGATTCAACTAATGTCGAAGGGGAGGGAAAATTCTGCTCCAGGTGCTAAGGTTGTCAAATTATAATGTTCCTTGTGATTATGGGAAGATGTTGTGGATCTTGGCCATAAACGTGGCATGTAATGGTTGCATGACAGCTTCCAGGTTGGTTTTATTCAAATATATTTCTTGATAGGTTAAGTCCTTTCACACTTCTTTTAACTTCTATTTAGTCGTGGTGAATGGGGAGAAGGTTTTCCTTTGTTTCCTTATTACATGCACTCCAGCAATTTGATGATCTGCAGGAAAGTATGACAAAGTTTAAGGCAGTGATCTTACTTGATTTTATGTTATAGAAATAAGCATGAGAATTAGCTAGTGCAATCAGGTTGTTGTGTCATACTACCACTTTTCTGTTCCTGCATGACGTCCAGTTAGCCATGCATTTCGTCCAGTTAGCCATTGGTTTTTTGTCTCTATAGTATAACCTTTTCTTAGTGGATATTGAACAATTTGTGTCTGTCCTCTTGACTGTTGTATTTGCAAAGGTACTCTATGCCTTTTGGTCTATGATATTCTTACAGGATTACTTCTATATAAAGGTAATATTCTCTCACGAGAAAGACACCGGTCCAAGTCCCAACAAATCCTTTACCATTTTTAAGAATTGGTTATGGAGGATGTTTGCCCTAGAGTCCTAATGGTTCTTTTGGTCAATGTCTCACTTGATTTCCATTTAATTTCTATATTCAACCAAGAGGTACTAGCCCCATATGGTGCCTTTTCCCACAGAGGAAGGTTAGGTTCTATACCTAACATCTGTGGAGAATTAAAATAAAAGAAAATTCTAGATTTAATTTCACATAGAGAACTACAGCGTGATTCAATTTTCTAAGTCGCTTTTGTTGCCACTTTAAGGTCCCTCTTTGTCTAGTTAATTTTAAAGTATGAGCTTTGGTAACCAACCATCATTGAGACTTTTTCGAATTGTAGCAAGCAGTTTTAAACTTTTTGTAGTCGCATCTGCTTAATATAAAAATTTACATAGGAATGGAGAAGTCATAGTTGTTTGTCTGAGTTGGTAGCAGAGTAGAAGGTCAAATCAGAACAAATCGCGTATTATGCTTTTGGTTTTGTGCTCCCAAATAATTACATGGATGTTACGTGCTTTCATCATGTAGGTGGTTCAGATTTTCCTCTCTGCAAAGCGGGTTTAGCAAAGTTGTTCTTCCTTGGTTGTACAGTCGTGTATATATCTTGGGAACTTCTGCACTTGGTTCTCCTTGAACTTCTGGACGTGCTGTAGAAGATGAGCCAAGGGACAGTACTACCTTCATACTCAGGGTCGATCTTGTGACTTGTTTCATCCATGTATGGTCTTCTTGTTATTTTTTTAGATTTTTTTTTTTTTTTCTAAAGAAAAGGAAAATCATTTTCATGTCATTTCAACCCTCGTGTAAAGCATTGATATATTTTCTTCGGCTATATGAAAGTGTTGTATATCCTTCAAATATTTTCTGGTGTCCGCCTTCAATATATAAGCATGCAGTGTAGAGAGGGAGAGTGGAAGTGGTATAGAAGGATGTGTTTAATTGAGTTTTGTTTTTAATGAAGGAAATTTCAAGTGTATATTACGTTAGGATTTTGCTAAATTAACCGAATGGTTGAAATGATTGTTTTCTGGTGATTATTAAAACATCAATGTTATTAAATTTTCAATAATTAAGTTTTTAAAATGCTCAGCTATTTCTTATTTATAAAAAAATGTTATTGAGGAAGCAGAGCCTGTTTTAACTAATTTCGTCTTTCACGTGACTTTAATATTATATAAAAAAATATAGAGATTTTTTGTATGTTAGATATCATGCATCTGTTGGCTTTAGATTTCTACTAAGATGTCGTTGGAAACGTACATGTTATTTTAGTAGAAATAAAATAAGACTCACCTAATCATCACGCCCTTGTAATGTAAATTGGATGTCGGTGCTCGTGACATGTTTTTATTTTCAAGTGTTGCTTTCGTTCTTTCAAGACTTTCATAAATTTACTTCGCCGAGAGAACAGAATTTTCTGTGTCTTCGTATTGTTTCTTTCACATACTTCGATTCAAACCTAGTGTTTTTCATTTCTAATCTCCATTTCATTTCTTTTCTCTCTGTTAATTTTGGAATCCGATAAGTAATGTATCGGCAAAAAACATAAATGAGTTGCTCTGCTCACGACTTGCTTTCTCTTTTTTTGCAAATGTTAAGTTCATGCTCCTGACGAATTCCCTCTTTTAAGAATTTGATTTTGTGGCGACATTGGGAGTAAATTTGTTTTACCAAAAAGAGAGAAACATTCTTCTTAATTTTTCTATTTCTTTGAATGTTCTGCTTATTATTATTTTTTTTTATCACTTACATTAACAATGAATTCATATTATGAGTAGAAAAATAAGATAGAAGGATTAGAATAACATAATTGAAGAAGAGAGTGAAGAAATTGCAAGAATATTGAGTGGGAATCCCAGATTTAACTAAGTGACTTTGATTTACAAAAGTGTTAAAGCTCGTAATCTCCATTTACTTTTCTTTTCTAAGTAAATATAAACAATAGAACTAGTTTTAGGAGTGAATCTAAAAATACCCAAATAGCAACTAACTAGTAAAAATAGGTTATATCGTAATAGACAGAAAGAGTAGAACTGTTCAGAATTGAAGAAGAGGATAAAGAAATTAGGAGAAAATCGAGTAAGAACAAAGAAATATGCAATCATATTTGTATAGATTAGTCAAATCTCATATTTTGTACTTTATCCTCAATAAGATAATAAAAAATATGAAGGAATATTGTAATATTAACTCAATGCGCAAGCAATAAACAATTTATAGTTCTTAGCTTTGCATTTCAAATCTTAATCCTGTATTTGAATATCAGAAGGCAATTGGGTTGGAAAGATTTCATGAAGGGAACCTTTGGAGGACGCATATTCTTTCGTATACAAACTAATTGCTATTTGCAAGTAGGCTGAAGAATCCAAGTAAATTTTTCTCAGAAAAGAAAATAACAAATCTAGATAATTTACAAAAGAAATCAATAGAAAATATATCATTGATTATATATAACTATATATTTAACTGCAGCGAAATAAATTTTAGTGAAGTGAAAATCCTACCCAAAGGACCAACTAAATTTCTCAACATACAATGCCATGTATTTCTGTCAGCCGTAGAGGAATTTGAATTTCTTCTCTTACAAGGATGTTCTTCTGTACAGAATAATCTTGTCAATACCCTACTAATTGCCTCTTGAGTTTTCCTTCACAAGAGTCCATAATGTTAAGATATGCTTGAGCTATCACATAAGAAGTCCAAAATGGCAATTGCCATTAACCAAAATCTTATATATATCCTTTGAATACCTCTATAAAGTAACAGACTCAGGCGCCGTAAAAAAGCAATCACCCAACTTCAAGCATATCTCCTGCCTTATCCCTGCATTAATAGAATGAAACAGAAATGAGAAAAAATAATGTAGGAAACACCCGACTTACCTTTGACGTAATATGAGAAGGATATGTAAAGATCCACAGCTCATGCAAAATAACTGAAGAGATGCAAACATGCAAAACACTGTTGCCCGTTAATAATATATAATCCCCAGCTCATGCACACAACCAGTTATTGGATATTACAACGACCCAAAATTTCATTCAGTTCTCTGCTTTACTCTGGAAAGGAATTTGGAAGCCCTCTAATTGAGGGCCGAGAGGACAAGAAAGTGCCATATAAGTAAAAAATATATCTAGTCATCCAGTTACTTTAGGAGAAGCACCTCCTCTCTTCCTCCCAATTGAAGAATCCTAATCCCTCGTAAAGAAAACACAAAGAGAGCTCAAAATCACAACATTAGTTATGAACACCAGTCTTTCAAATTCTCTGTTTTTTATTCTCTCGGAGATATAACAATTTTGAAAAACTATAACAAGATCCAATAATAATTTCTTATTGTAGATGAGAAACATGACATAAAAGGGTATCAAATTATCAAGTAATTGCCAACAAATTAAATGTCATTCTTCTTGTAGATGAGAAACACAACATGCAGGATCTCAAATGATCAAGTATTGCTAAGAGATACAAGTCATCCTTATGGAAATTACAAATTACAGCAACCCTTAATCATGGAATAAAAGTTTTTGAAATACAGCTGAGTGAATTCCTCCAGTAAGCATTGATTTTCACTTGGACATGCTTTTGCAGACTTCTAGTTTATATATATGACTCATGGATGATTCTTCACTTACCGAGTATGACTAAGAGATAATGTAACCAAGTTAATATTTCATTGATCCCAACAAGGGTATAACCAAAAATGAAAGGCACATAGAACGTATACATTTCTAATGTAGCAGTTAATAATATAATGACTTACAGTTTATGTCCAAGGTCACTTCCCAACTTTGTTGTATGGGAACAATCTTCACTTACAGCAGAACTTCTGTTCACTGATAAATCTGAGGATCTGATATTCACATCAGATTTCTCCTTCTTGGAACTGAACTCAAGTTGTCTCTCTACGGACTTAAAGACAGCAGTTCTTTTGGACCTTAACCGGTATGGAGGAGACACATTAAAAGCCTTGCTAGTAGGTCCAGCGACATCATTTTCTCTAAAAGCAGGACTGCTGCACAAACTCTCATTTTCGAACAGGGACTTCTCAGAACTGTTCTCAGCTCTTTCGTGTTTGTTGGATGCGTGAGGCCTGCCCTTGACCATTTCCGCATCCACTTTCTCAACTTTGTTAATGATTTGATGCCCTTGAGAAACTATTTTTCTCTTTCGGAATATGGAAGGAGTATTAGGGAAGGTCTTGGCAGCAATTTTTAATATAGATTCGGGACTTTGCATACCTCGAGCACTGTCCTTCACACAAGGTGGAGTGAAGAAACAAATAGGTGAGATATTGGGGCCAGAACTACAGTCATGGCTTACACCACACGTACAAAAGAGATCTATATCTGATGGAATACAATTTTCAAACTGGGGTGGCTCATAGTATAAAGAGCCATATGTCGGAGTTCCAAACTGCAATTGCCTCCCAGTATCTGTATCTTCAACAATTTCTGAGCTGGTTCCATGATTCTCAAACTTTGGCACTGACTCTAAGTTACTGCAGGTAGTACCTGCATTAGACAACTGTGGCCTACATTCTACATTTTCAGAATCACCTGACTCATTTGGAAGACCACTAGATGAAACAGCCGCATCTTGTTTGGGTGCCAAAGAATCAATATGATCCTTACCATCTTCGTCTAGTTTACATATGTCTGTAGTTCCTGATGATGTTTGTGCAGCTGAATCTGAATCTTTATTTGAGGAAGCAAGTAATTTTTTAGTTACAGTAGATCTATTTGTATCTTTGGTGCCATTTTGAAGGCCATTCTTTGCAACTGGCGGCAGTTTCCCAGTAGCCAAGTAGAAATCTAATTTTTTCTTCAAGGAACTATTCCAGTGATTTTTTATCGAGTTATCAGTTCTACATCAAGAACCAGTGCAACAGACAAGAATTAGCTGAAGTAAAATGAGAGGATAATAAATGCTTGAAGTAGCATGTCAAAGGTTTAAATAGCACTAGCATCAGATATAGCATCAGGGATCATTGGAGAGATTCAAGGAAAACAGAGCTAATTCATATCTCTATTTGACCATTATTAAGAACTTTGATTAGTTGTGGCAGTTGAGAAAACTACTCTTTGGTTGATTATGATTTTGGTAGCTGTGGTCTCAATTTGAAGAAGCATTTGGACAACTAATCCAGAGAAACTACCCCTAGTTTCAATTCTGTTTAAGATTATTTGACCTTACCCTAAATTTGACACTCAAAACAGCAGTAACTCAATAATGATGGAATCAGAAACAGAATTAATCATGTGATATGAAAAGATACCACTAATAGTAAGAAAGTAAAACTCATCTCCTTGTTATTAAATAGCACTAGCATCAGATATAGCATCAGGGATCATTGGAGAGATTCAAGGAAAACAGAGCTAATTCATATCTCTATTTGACCATTATTAAGAACTTTGATTAGCTGTGGCTGTTGAGAAAACTATTCTTTGGTTGATTATGATTTTGGTTGCTGTGGTCTCAATTTGAAGAACCATTTGGACAACTAATCCAGAGAAACTACCCCTAGTTTCAATTCTGTTTAAGATTATTTGACCTTACCCTAAATTGGACACTCAAAACAGCAGTAACTCAATAATGATGGAATCAGAAACAGAATTAATCATGGGATATGAAAAGATACCACTAATAGTAAGAAAGTAAAACTCATCTCCTTATTATTAAATAGCACTAGCATCAGATATAGCATCAGGGATCATTGGAGAGATTCAAGGAAAAAATAGCTAATTCATATCTCTATTTGACCATTATTAAGAACTTTGATTAGCTGTGGCTGTTGAGAAAACTATTCTTTGGTTGATTATGATTTTGGTTGCTGTGGTCTCAATTTGAAGAAGCATTTGGACAACTAATCCAGAGAAACTACCCCTAGTTTCAATTCTGTTTAAGATTATTTGACCTTACCCTAAATTGGACACTCAAAACAGCAGTAACTCAATAATGATGGAATCAGAAACAGAATTAATCATGGGATATGAAAAGATACCACTAATAGTAAGAAAGTAAAACTCATCTCCTTACAAGTAATATACACAGACAAGATAGGCGATGCAATTTGGTTCATTTCCAGAGAAGTGGACTGTTAATGAACATAGTTCCCCAAAAAAAAGTTTTATCAATCTGCTGGTATGGTATGAGCTGCAAAATTTTATGTTCCTTATAAATACCTAGTGCGTCACATGAAATGTATTCTGGATAAGTACTAACAATATACTCTGGGTAAGTCTCTACGGCATGATGATTTATGCTTCACTATTACTAGTCCTTCTGGCTCAGCAAAAGACAATAGCCAGTAAAATAAGAACCTAGTCTCAGAAGAGCTTCACAGAGTGCCACTCTAGTCTAGGACAAACAGGTTTCTTGATGGGACAATGTTACATCACAAATAGCACATGAATTCCTACAGAAATTTGAGCATGAAAAAAAAAAACAACTGTACCTTCCAGGTAAGACCTTGGCGATTTCAGCCCATTTGTTCCCATGCACCCGATGAGCATTCATAAGAGCTAATTCTTCATCCAAAGTCCATGCGTCTTTTTTAATATCAGGATTCAAATGATTGTGCCACCTACAAACAATGTTTTTGGCAATTTTGTAAATGAAAGAAACTGCCTTTTCAAATGAACAAACCAATTTGCTTTTGTCCTTTATGAAGGTAGGCAAGATTAGGTGCAAATTTCCAAAATGGAAAATCAGAAATTTAGATCTTGCCCATCATCTGCTTATGCATCCTTATAAGTTTTATTATTGTCTCTTCGATCATTTTATATGACATAAATATTAAAATATGATCTATTTAGCAAATGAAATAATATTAGAAATCATGAACATTCTGAGTCTAAGAAAAATGATTATTCGTTACCTCTCTCTGCATTGTTTTCCAATTCGACCAGGCAAAGACTTTGCAATGACAGACCATTTTGTGGGTCCATATCTTGCCACCAGTTCAATGATTTTATCATCCTCCTGCAAAACACACATACAACAGGAACTATGTTATCAAGTTCCAAAAACAAACAGCGGAAGGGAAATGTGGAAGCAAGTTTATACCTCTTGAGTCCAAGGTCCTTTAACAAGATCTGGATTGAGAACCTTCTGCCATCGATGCAGACACTGCACTTCTGATCTATCAGGAAAGAACTCAGCTGCAAGAACAGTATATACCATAAGAACATAAGGAATTTTAGCTTAACACTATTACCTGAAATTTTCGGTGCTACAGAAATTTCAACATTTATACACTTAAATCTTATGCCATTAAATTACTAGGCAATTCACAAAAAGACCTATGCGCAGCAGGCATTAAATGATATTATTAGATCCAACCATTTAAAGAAATTCAAAGAAATGAAATGAATCACATAGATAAAAAATAATAATTAAAGAAAAACTTCCAACCAACGAAATATTCATTTATTTCTCTCTTCACATCCTTGCCATTTTGTGAACTTCAGCCCGACTCTAGAACATCACCTACGGATTTCAGTTGCAGACAGCACCAGAGCTAGAACACTGAAATATAGGACCAACTTTTAACATGACATTTTCATTTAACAAAATATTTACAGCTCCGATATTTACTCCATGGCTGACCAAAAAAAAATCTTATCAGCCCTACATCTGCTTTAAGTTCACCTATTAAGTCAATAACCTACTTTTTGACATAAAGTCAATAACATACTTTTGTCCTAAATTAATTAGAGCAAAGAACTTATCAATAAGAATCACTCACAAGGGATGCTGACGTATAGTTAAATTTTTAATATAATTTAAATTACATTAAAGTGAATTGGAAGTTTCAATATGGTAACTAGTTAAGCATATAGAAGTAACTGCTGTCAAAAGAAATAATGAGGAACTCCAAAAAAATTATAAATGTTGAGGAAAGAAAAAAACCTATCTTTTTCCAGCTCTTTCCCTTAAAAGCTGCAACAGCATTTCTCAATGTCTCATCCTGCAACAGATTAGATAAGTTCTTACTAACATAAACATATCGCAGAGCAACATCAGATCAATATGTTCAAAATAAGAGAGAGCATACATGGCACATGGTAGAGTTACTTTTATACTGTACAAAGTTATTATTCTTAGAAATTTTGAAGTTAATAGGTGCTGAAAATCTTCCTAAACCAACGAAAATGCCAAAATTACCCAATCTTAATCTCCCTCTTCAGAAATGATTGGGCAGATGTGTGCACCCACACATACATACGATCTCTAGCTAATCCATAATGCATAAAAATTCAATAATTGAAAGAGGAAGAAATTTCCTACCTCCTGCGGAGTCCAGCCACCTTTCGCACGCCTAATAGGGCCGGTGGTTCTCCTGCAAATTCAAATACACAACATGCTGTTTATTGGGCATATTAAAATCCATGGGAACTACATAGGTAGAGTTGCCGAAATCTAGGGTATTCGTCATGTTTCTAAACAATATACTAAAATAAAAGGCTTTAGAGGAGAGTACCGATGAGTAGGTGATGTTGCTGCAGGGCTAGAAATTGCCGGAGACTTAAGTATGGCACTTCCACTGCCTTCAGATATAGAAGAGCTGGATGCTGTTGTTAATTGTTTATTCTCAAGACAACACTCCTCGACCTTTAACTCAGCCATCTGCTTCTACAATCATCTCCAAAACTCAAAATCCTAATCAAGAAGAACTGAGAAAATAACCAAATAGATAAAGACTTCCTACAAAAAAGCAACCATATATAATCACTATGAACACTCAAACGCAACTGACGACAAAGAAAATTCCCAACCCGCACCGCCAAAAACGAATACAAACAAAAGCCAGATCTCAATACCAGCAATTAGATCAAAATAAATCGATAAAACCCAATACTTGTGCACACAAACCACAGAATCCTAGGGTTTTTAGCAGATAAAAGCATAAACCCAAGAAAACTAATTGTTTCACAAATCAGAGATACTTGGGATTAAAGGAATAACGATGAAGCGATCGGAGACAGTAAAAGAAATGAAAAGAAAAAAGGAAAACTTATTTTGGCAAACAGAAACGATTCCGATTTGCGAAGGTGAAACTGACCTCATCCTGAAAAGAACTGGCGGGAATCAAACTGGAGCTCATCGAACGAAGAAAATCCCTTTTGGAGTGAGAAAGAATTGAAACGTCTCTCTGTGGAAACAGAAAGCACTTGCTTTGTTTCGAAAAATCCTTTGCCCGTTGAAACAATGAAAGAAAGAGAGTCTTCAAAGATTAAAAAATATATATATATATATATTAAAAACGTTAAAAAAGTATATAACGAATGTATACGCACCGACGTCTCCGTTACTAACCGTTATATATAGCTGCTGAGGGTTTCGGAAGGTAAAACCCCTGATGGGTTAACGTCTGTTAAAGTCATCAAGTTACCGTTAGGGACAAAGTTTGAACCTGAAAGGGCATTCTAGCTAGAGGAAAGCCCCACACGCGTTTGAGTCGAACAAAGTTTTAGCCTTTGACGGGAGCCAATTCTTCGTGGGTGTTTCTCAGCCGTTGGATCTCACGTAAGTTATCGGAGTTTACATGTCCACTTTCTTGCGTGGGAAGGTATAGTTTAACTGATTAAGAGAGGTTTGAGCAATTAATATTGACCGAAATATTTGATCAAAATAGTGCATAATTATCTCAATCTGCTATTGAAATATTAGTTAATATGAATCGTTTGACAGTAAAAAAAAAAAAAGATCAATTTTATTAAACATATAAATTTTAAAAAATTATTAAATTTAACAAAATAAAGACGTAAATCTCATGTCCGATAATCAAATCAAATAGCGTTTCTCCATCTTTTATTTTTTATGCGTGTAAAATAAAGTTATCTTCTCTTATTTGAAAGTGGGAGAAAGATTTGATTTTATTATAATAATGAAGCAGAGGTGCTGGTAGAAAGGACTTGTCGAATGATCTAAATAGCAGAGATGACATGTAAATAATTTGATCACCACAAGGACATTATTTTTTGCAAGCTAAATTTGATGAGCTCGTGAAAACAGATTCTTGATTCTTCGATTGCAGTTCCTCCATATCCGACGATAACCTCAATTTTTCTCTCATCTTCTCCTCTGCTTTTTTTCGTTTCTGTTGCTTTGGTTTCTCAGAAATTCATATATGTTGATTTGATTCCTCATAACCTCTTTTATTGTTTACTATTTTTATAGTACACTACTAATAAAGTAGTGTACATTTGCAATTTTTTGCTTTAACTTCCTCTTTTGTGTAGGAAAGGAATTTTCTATTTATATCTATATAATTCATATATTATATTTTTAGTCTATATGTGGAGAGGGTTTCCTCACTTGTGTCTCTCTTTTTACATATTAGACTAATAAAGAAGCTGAAATCGATATGTCTCTCCTTTGATTTACTTTAAACTCTTAATTTTCATCTCTTCAGACCTATGATGTTATTGGATTTTTATGTTGTAAAGTGGATGAAACTAATTGAAAATTTTTGATGGAATAACAATTATTTTAGTTTTCAGTTGATAAAATTATTAGAATATGAGTTGATTTACAATAAACAAGACGTTATTTATGTTGACAATACGTCGGGTGGATGTTTCTTTACAATAGTGCATGATCTTATTGTATGAGGAGAATATGATAGAATTGCCTCTCGGCTCAACCTGAATTCTTGTGTCATTTTAAATCTTTTTTGCCAGTAAATATTGTCAAACTCTCTCATGTCATCGTATATTTCATCAATATGAATATAATGTAAATACTTTAAAGTCAAGAAGGCTCTGATGGTTAACCTAGTTCCTAAATTATACTTAACTTTTAAATCTTTCATTGAAGTAAACTATCGAATAATATTTTATTAAAAATTTTATTTAATCTACTTTACTGTTTTCTAGTCTATTTTAATAATATTATTATTTAAATACTTTCAAACACGTTGTAATTATTATTTTAATTATATAAAAAATACATTTTTTAGTTCTGTTAAATGTTTAGAAAAATAAATGTTTATATTACCAAATACTAATATTAGAGTAGAATACACTTAAAACTATTTATAGACATAAACTAAACAATCCAAAAACAGATAAGCTTAAAAACAAGTCCATGGGCTTTATGAACATAGGGGCTGAAAAAATTCAAATGAAGAAAGATCCAACGGTCATAAATTCAAAAACAAAGGTCAGTTACTCCGGTCTCATGGCGCTTTTGCTCAGTATTATATTCTGACCAAACATATAATCATACAGAAGACAGCATTGTATTCTGCTTCCCATGGAAACCCCAAAACATTCGTTGAACACAATTCAAAATTTCAAATTTGGGACTCCTGCAAAATCCATGGAGACCAATTCGGTCTCCAAGGTTAGGGTTATAGTCCGGGTGCGTCCTTTTCTCCCTCAAGAAATCCTTTCAAAAGATGGGAACCTGAAATCTTGCATTTCGGTTCTTGATCAGAATTTCGGGCCTTGCGATGAAGTTGCTGTTCATCTCTCTGATCCCCACACCAGGTCAGTGAAACTTTTCATGATATCTCGTACGAAGCTCGGCCTCACTTGGAGTTACGTTGGATTTGCAAGTTTTCGTTATATTTGCAATAAATTCACAGATTCACTGTTGTGAACTCAAATTTATCGCGTTTTCTTATTTTTTCTACTACTCTTGTGCAGTAACTTGATTTTTAAGATTTTGGTATGATTAGTGTTTTTTTTTTTTTGTTGGATTCAGTCGAAATGAGTGCTATCGAGTGGACTCCTTTTTTGACCAGAAAGATGACAATGTTAGCCAGATATTCTCCAGGGAAGTGGATCCTTTGATTCCTGGGATTTTTCATGGCTGCAATGCCACTGTCTTTGCTTATGGCGCTACTGGAAGTGGTAAAACCTATACCATGCAGGTAATTATGTTGTTTAATTTTCTGTTGCTCTCCGTTTTGTTTCCATTAATAAGGAAAGAAAAAATTCAAATTACAGAGATTCAAGGACAGAAAAAATTCAAATTTATACTCCTTTACTCTTTCTTTTTGGGTTTCATTGTCGTTCGTTGTCCAATATTAATGACGGTAAGAAATATAGACCATCTATTCATCAATACTAGAAACTATCCTCTTGGTCTAATCAAGTATTTATTGCGAAGATATGTGTCAACATGTTTCATGATACAGGGAACAGATGAGCTACCAGGCCTAATGCCGCTGGTAATGTCTGCTGTTCTGTCTCTGTGCAAGAAGATGGGGAGCACAGCAGAAATTTCATACTACGAGGTATATATGGACAGATGTTATGATCTGCTAGAAGTCAAAGCCAAGGAAATTGTGATTAGAGATGACAAAGATGGACAAATTCATCTTAGTGGGCTATCTCGTGTCCCTGTTCTTTCAATGTCTGAGTTCAATGAGGTCTTCTCCTGTGCTGTTCAGAGGCGAAAAGTTGCACATACAGGTCTTAATGATGTTTCCAGTAGGAGCCATGGAGTGCTTGTTATATCTGTTTCCTCTCTTACTGGTGATGCTTCTGGGGCTGTTGTTACTGGGAAAATCAATCTCATTGACCTAGCAGGTTCCTTCTAACGTGCCTGAAGTTGCTTTTGTAATTGGGGTGGAGTTGCTTTGCTTATTGTTTTTGCCGGAACTAACTAAAATCTTGTGGTATAAATTAGGTAACGAAGATAACAGAAGGACCTGCAATGAGGGAATTCGTCTTCAAGAAAGTTCGAAGATCAATCAGTCCTTGTTTGCATTGTCCAATGTCATTTATGCATTGAATAACAACAAGCCCCGAGTACCCTACAGAGAAAGCAAACTGACACGTATCTTGCAGGACTCTCTGGGAGGAACAAGTTGTGCATTGATGGTTGCTTGTCTGGTAAAGATATTCAAGTTCATTCATAATCACTTACATTGACTTT